CTTGGGCGACAGAGCAAGACTCTGTCTCATACATACTACATACATAATAATTTTTTGTAGAGATGAGGTCTCACTATGTTGCCCAGGCTGGTCTCTAACTTCTGGGCTTGAGGAATCCACCTGTCTCAGCCTTCCATAGGCATGAGCCACTGTGCCTGGCCTGGAATAGTATTTTTAGCCACCTCTCTATTGATTTTCTTTTTTTCTTTCTTTCTTTTTTTTTTGTTTGAGACAGAGTCTTGTTCTGTCACCCAGGCTGGAGTGCAGTGGCACAATCTTGGCTCACCACAGCCTCCACCTCTAAGGTTCAAGAGCTTCTCGTACCTGAGTCTCCCGAGTAGCTGGGATTACAGGTGTGCACAACCACACCTGGCTAATTTTTGTATTTTTAGTAGAGATGGGGTTTCGCCATGTTGGCCAGACTGGTCTCAAACTCCTGGCCTCAAGTGATCCACCCTTCTCGGCCTCCCAAAGTGCTGGGATTATAGACATGAGCCACCACACCTAGCCTAGAATAAATTTCTTAAAGTGAAACTATTAGGCCAAAGAAATCAATTTTGAACATTTGTTATATATTATAAAATTACCCTCAGAAACTGTGTTCTAAAGTATGTCTCTACAGCAATGAATAGGAACACTTTTTTTCCCATATCTTTACCAACTTTGGGTACCAGTCTTTTAAATCTTTGCCAAATTGATATGGGGAAAGTCCTTTAAAAAATATGTTTCTTGGCCTGGCACAGCTGGCTCATGCCTGTAATCCCAGCACTTTGGGAAGCTGAGGAGGGTGGATCACCTGAGGTCAAGAGTTTGAGACAAGCCTGGCCAATATGGCCACATTTTCATACTAAAATATGAAAAAATCAGCTGGCTGTGGTGGTTTGCAGTTGCAGTCCCAGCTGTTTGGGAGACTGAGGCAGGAGAATTGCTTGAACCCAGGAGTTGGAGGTTGCACTCCAGCTTGGGCTACAGAGCAAGACTCCATCTCAAAAAAAAAAAAAAGTTTCTTAGGCTGGGCACGGTGGCTCAAGCCTGTAATCCCAGCACTTTGGGAGGCCGAGGCGGGTGGATCACGAGGTCAAGAGATCAAGACCATCCTGCTCAATATGGTGAAACCCCGTCTCTACTAAAAATACAAAAAATTAGCTGGGCATGGTGGTGCATGCCTGTAATCCCAGCTACTCAGGAGGCTGAGGCAGGAGAATTGCCTGAACCCAGGAGGCAGAGGTGAGCCGAGATCACGCCATTGCACTCCAGCCTGGGTAACAAGAGCAAACTCCGTCTCAAAAAAAAAAGTTTCTTTGATTATTAGGATAATTTTTTAAACAGCTTTAATGACATATAATCCATATACCTTAAAATTTATCCTTTTAAAGTGTACAATTCAGTGATTTTTAGTGTATTCACAGAGTTTTGCAGCCATCAAAACTGTCTAATTTTAGAATATTTCCATCACCCCAAAAAAGAAACCCCTACCTCACAATGACCTTCAGAATATTTAAAATGTCTGCTCCTTCACTTTCACTTTTCAAATCTCATGCAAATTTTTTTTGTGGTCAACTATAACCTTGTACCCTACTGGAGAAAGTAATTCTGGGTTCTGGGAAACAGAGTTCCAGGTTTTTTTTAAAAAAAATCCTCTTTTCTGCTGGGCACAGTGGCTCATGCCTGTAATCCTTGCACTTTGGGAGGCTGAGGTGGGTGGATTATCCTGAGGTCAGGAGTTTGCAACCAGCCTGGCCAACATAGTGAAACCCCGTTTCTACTAAAAATACAAAAAAAATTAGATGGATGTGGTGGCAGGCACCTGTAATCCTAGCTACTTGGGAGGCTGAGGCAGGAGAATCACTTGAACTGGGAGGTGGAGGTTGCAGTGAGCCTGAGGTCATGCCACTGTACTCCAGCTTGGGCAGCAGAGTGAGACTCCATCAAAAAAAAAAAAACAAAACTACTTATTCTTTAGAAGCTTGGCATATTCACATAATAATTTTGACTTGTATCATGGAGGCCAATCATTTTGCAAAAATAATATAATTACTACATAAATATTTGCCAGTAATGGAAATTCTAAGTTTGACATGTCGAATACCTGGTAAATCAGTAGTTCGATTTATATTTTCCTGAAGATACGTAATGGGTAAACTAAATACTCTCTAAACCAGCACTGTTAAGTAGAACTGATGGAAAGATGAAAATGTACAGTCTAGTACAGTAGCTGCATGGCTGTTCACTTGAAATACAGCGAATCCTACTGAATTTATAGTTTTAATTTAACTTTTAAAAGCTACACATGGGCCAGGCACTGTGGCTCATGCCTATAATTCCAGCACTTTGGGAGGCCGAGGTGGGAGGATCATTTGAGGCCAGGAGTTCGAGGTTGGTCTAGACAACACTGCGAAACCCTGTCTCTACAAATAATTTAAAAATTAGCTAGGCATGCTGGCTGCATACCTATAGTTCCAGCTACTAGGGAGGCTGACGGCAGGACAATTTCTTGAGCCCAGGACTTCAAGGCAGTGAGCTATGATTGTGCCCCTGCACCCCAGCCTGGGTGACAGAATGAGACCCCATCTCTAAGAAATATTCTTAAAAAAAGCTACCAATTTAAGTTCCTGCTTAGCTTATTCTAAGGTGCCTAGATGTGAGGTAACGAAGGGAGAATGCCCTATGGCATGTAAGGGGAGAGGAACTAGAAGAAAATTATGTGATCACCTTGGTATCTAATTGAGATCTATGGGGATCACAGATTTTCCTTATGGCTAAATAGAAATTTTGGCCGGGCAGCAGTGGCTCATGCCTGTAATCCCAACACTTTGGGAGCCTGAGGTGGGCAGGATCACGAAGCTCAAGAGATCAAGACCATCCTGGCCAACACTGTGAAACTCAGTCTCTACTAAAAATACAAAAAAACTAGTCGGGCATGGTGGCACATGCCTGTAGTCCCAGCTACTCGTGAGGCAGAGGCAGAAGAATTGCTTGAACCCAGGAGGTGGAGGTTGCAGTGAGCCGAGATTGCGCCACTGCACTCCAGCCTGGTGACAGAGCAAGACTCCGTCTCAAAAAAAAAGAAAGAAATGTTAGGGTGTTACCAGTGCAATGGTAACAGGCCAAATAACCTTTTTTCCCCTCAGGTTTTTTGTTTTTTTGAGATGGAGTCTCGCTCTTGTTGCCCAGGGTGGAGTAAAATGGTGCAATCTTGGCTCACTGCAACCTCCACCTTCTGGATTTAAGTGATTCTCCTGCCTCAGCCTCCAGAGTAGCTGAGGTTACAAGTGCCTGCCCAATGTCTGGCTAACTTTTTGTATTTTTAGGATGGGGTTTCGCCATGTTGGCCAGGCTGTTCTTGAACTCCTGGCCTTAGGTGATGTGCCTACCTCTTCCCTGCAAAGCACTGGGATTACAGGTGTGAGCCACTGCGCCCAGCCTGTTTCTCAGTTTTCTTACATAAAAAATTCATTTTTCAGAGTAGACAACTTTTTCTTACCATTTTTCATGGAATTTTGTTATCAGTTTTAGCTTGCAATATTAACTTCTTTTTTCTGGAGGGAAGATCTGTATTAGAAGAATATATAAAGTAACGATTTCTGGAGATTTCGGGGTAGAAAAATAACAGATCTGACTTCTATGTTAAGTCAGCCTTAAACACTTTTGTTTCCCCTGTATTATTTAAAATTACTATCTTTCAAAACCTGGAACCTTTTCTGTAGGTCAGTATTTATTCCAAGAGAATTAGCAATATGAAACTGAGGGCCATCTGTGAGTTCCAAGCAACACCTGTGGCTGTTACTAGCTGCCTAGCATAATCATAATTTGGAGTCATTTGACCTGGCTACTAGGATTTTTTTTTCCCTAGTTCATCTACTTATATTGTACTTTCTTTATGATTTTAAGATCTCTTCTCATAATTTGTTGCCTCAGTTTCTTTTTTCTTATAAGATTATAAACTAATACTATATTTACCTCCTTCCTAAAAATGTAAACATTGAGGTATTTATTAAGGATTTCATATTCCTTTGAATAAAAATATTCTGGGGAGGTAATAGTGATAAAGAATGTGGACTCAGGCCTGTTGCAGTGACTCATGCCTGTAATCCCAGCACTTTGGGAGGCTGAGGCAGGTGGATCACTTGAGGTCAGGAGTTCAAGACCAGCCTGGCCAACATGGTGAACCCCCGTCTTTACTAAAAATACAAAAATTAGCCAGCCGTCGTGGCAGGCACCTGTAATCCTAGCTACTTGGGAGGCTGGGGTAGGAGAATTGCTTGAACTTGGGAGGTGGAGGTTGAAGTGAGCCGAGATTGCGCCACTGCACTCCAGCCTAGGCAGCAGAGCAAGACTCAATCTTTCTTTTTTTTTTTTTTTGAGATGAGGTCTTGCTTGGTCACCAGGCTGGAGTACAGTGACATGATCATGGCTCACTCCTGCCTCAACCTCCTGGGCTCAAGCAATTCTCCCACCTTAGCCTCCTGAGTAGGTGGGACTACAGCTGTGCACCACCATGCCCAGCCGATGTTTTAAAAAGTTTTTTGTAGGTCAGGCACAGTGGTTCATGCCTATAATCCCAGCACTTTGGGAGGCTGAGGCAGGAGGACTGCTTGAGCCCAGGAGTTCAAGAAAATCCTGGGCAACATAGCAAGACCCTGTCCCTTAAAAAAAAAAAGTTTTGTGAGCTAGATGTGGCAAACTCCTCTAGTCCCAGCTATTCAGGAGGCTGAGGTGGAGGATTGTGTGATTTTAGGACTTTAAGGCCAACCTGGGCAACCTAGCAAGACCCCATCTCTAAAGTATGAAAATAAAATATTTTATGATCAGTAGAATTGTGTTTTCAGATAACTACATATTTTATGGGTAGATTTTTTAAGTTTTTTAATCAGAAAAATTTTATTACATAAATGGCCATCTTTAGTAGTTAGATTGTTTTCAGATTATTAAAATCACAAGACTTTACTTGATAATTTTTAAAGAGACTCACCTAATTTTCTTACATTTTGTTTTAATAGGTAATTTTAACCAATCAGATGACAACAAAGATTGATAAAAATCAGGCCTTGCTCATTCCTGCTTTAGGTGGGTAAGCAATGAGATAAACAGTTTAGTTAATCACAGTTTTTCCTATCTCTTTCATTTGATTCTCATTGAGTACTATAAGCTCCATGAAAGCAGACTGTATTTGTCTTGTTCACTGGTTAATCTTAGCACTAAGTACAGTACCCTTAGATACTGACTGTTTCTTTTAGTTACTTAACATTTATTGAGTGACCAGACACAGTGTCTCACACCTGTAATCCTAGCACCTTGGGAGGCTGAGGTGGATCACTTGAGGCCAGGAGTTCAAGACTAGCCTGGCCAATATGGTGAAAACCCCATCTCAACTAAAAATACAAAAAAATTAGCCAGACATGGTGGCACACACTTGTAATCCCACCAACTTGGGAGGCTGAGGCATGAGAATTGCTTGAACCTGGAAGATGCAGGCTGTGAGAAGCTAGAATCCTGCCACTGCACTCCAGCCTTGGTGACAGAGCGAGACTGTCTCAAAAAATTGATTATCTACTGTCTAGCAACTACTGTGTCAAAGATTCTTGCCCCCAGATAATTCACAGCGTTAGGCAGAAGGAGGGGTGAATCCACTTAAATCACACTACAGTAAATATCGTGGTTTTGTTAGAATGCAATGCTTCAAGATGTATGTCCACTAAAATCTTAAAGAATATTTTACCAGAGTTTTTACTTTTCTTCTGGAAGGTCAGAAATATGTTAAGTTTGATGATTTGGAAAATTGGCAAATATATGACTCAGACTATTAAGTTTTCTCAAAGCAAATAGAGGATAATGATCTGCAATATACCCCTAGATAGGTAAAAATCTTATAATCTCAGGATGTTACTCATTTCCCAGGTTTTTTTTTTTTAAAGCAAGTATACTTTTGTTATGTTAAATTAAGTAAAGTAAGATTATACTTGATCAGGGGCATTCTGAGAAATTTATAACCAAGTCAGTAAGGCAATATACAGTTATTATGTTCTTTACTCTCAGGGGAAAGTTGGGGACATGCTGCTACAATACGGCTAATCTTTCATTGGGACCTAAAGCAAAGGTCAGTATAGAAACAAGTTAATAATTCTGAATATTGGGTTGATTACACTGAATGAACACTTAGAAGTTTCTTAGAGCTAGTCCTGTGGGTTAGATGTACAATGATCTATATTGTTGCCTTGTCTGATATCACCTAGAGGAAACATAGAAATGTGTTGTTATTACTGCACATTTAGCTACTTAGGAAATTCTCTGGAATATTTAAATGATGGGGTGCTCGCACCTGAAATGAGTAGGTGGCCAAGGAATGCCATTTTCTAAAGCACTTTGAAATCATTTATTAGCCATGTAGAAGGAGGTTAGTACTCTATGTTCAAAGAAAGAATAAAATCAGGACAAAAGGAAAATTGTTGAAGTTAGCTTTAAAATTAATTTCTTTGGAAGATAGGATTGTTTTTCTTAGTTGCTTAGTGTATTTCTTGTATGAAATTGTGTCTGTTATTTTTTTTATTTTGTATTTTGCTGTCCGGCTTTTATTATCCACTTTCACAAGTATTGTTCTTTAAAAGTGTGGCAGCATGAAGTCTTTGTATTTGTTTTTAAAGCAGCTGAGCAAGTGAACAAAGCAGCTTTTATTTCTTGAAAATAGGCCATTGAAAGCTGTGAAGTCTTTCCTACACTTACAGAAAATGTCAGATTTATGCTAGCCTCTCTGCTTTGTGATTAATTGGTATAACATAGAATCTTGGTTTGGAAATGCTCTAATAAAGGGAGAAATTAAGATCGCATGCAAGCAAAGATGGACTAAAGGGTCACTTAAATACATATTGGGCCTAGCCAGTGAAATTGTCTGTTTTTTAATCTGCATTTCTTTGTTGTTCTACAAATAAAAAAATCCTGCCTGACCAAGTTAGGTTTTACTGACCTCAAGCTCGTGTCGTAACTGATTACACTCTGTATATATCTTTTGCAACTGATAGTGCAGTTTGTGTCTACTTTAAAAATGGTATTTCCAGGCCGGGCACGGTGGTTCACGCCTATAATCCCAGCACTTTGGGATGCCAAGGCACCTGAGGTCAGGAGTTCGAGAACAGCCTGGCCAGCATGGCAAAACCCTGTCTCTACTAAAAATACAAAAATGTTAGCAAGGCATGGTGATGGGTTACTTTAATCTTAGCTCCTCAGGAGGCCGAGGCAGGAGAATTGCTTGAACCTAGGAGGCAGAGGTTGCAGTGAGCTTCGGCAGCAGAGCGAGACTCCATCTCAAAAAAAAAAAAAAAAAGTTGCATGAAATTTTGTATGCTTTATGCTTTTAAAATTTTAGTTTATTTTAAAAGGATGAAAATGGAAATTCATATCAGGGAAAAATAATTATAAAAATGAACATTTTAGACCATCCTGGTCAACATGGTGAAACCCTGTCTCTACTAAAAATACAAAAAATTAGCTGGGCATGGTGGCACGTGCCTCTAATCCCAGCCACTCAGGAGGCTGAGGCAGGAGAATTGCCTGAACCCAGGAGGCGGAGGTTGCGGTGAGCCGAGATCGCGCCATTGCACTCCACCTGGGTAACAAGAATGAAACTCCGTCTCAAAAAAAAAAAGAACATTTTTCATTTGGATAGGAACAGTAAAAAAAATTTTTTTTGACACAGGGTCTTGCTTTGTTGTCCAGGCTGGAGTGCAGTGGTGCAGTAGTATGATCTCAGGTTACTGCAGCCTCAACCTCCTGGGCTCAAGCGGTCGTCCCACCTCAGCCTCCCAAGTAGCTGGGACCACAGGCATGTACTACCACACCCAGCTAATTTTTGTAATTTTTGTAGAAACAGGGTTTCGAGATGTTGCCCAGGCTGGTCTTGACCTCATAAGCTCAGGCAGTCCAGCTACCTTGGCCTCCCAAAGTGGTGGGATTGTAGGCATGAGCCACGGCATCCGTTCAGAAATAAAAATCTTAAATAGCCAAATTTATATTGGGAATTGAACTTAAGTGTACTGTCTCATGCCCCAGACCCCATCCTTTACCAGTAACACCTGATTTTTACCCTTAGACTAATGATGGAATAATATTCCAACAGTTATTAAAATAAATACCTTTATCTGTGTCTTTATAATATGTGGGTTTTCCTCCAATTTGCATATTCATGATTATATGAGGCCAAGATTATTCAGAATTACACTACTCTTTGCCAAGAAGATCTGGTGGTAGAGTAATAAATCAACACCCCCACACAGTGTTTCATATGTGTGCTCAGTTTTAGAGCACAAATTGTGCTTCTGTCTTGTTTCTTCCTGACCCAAACTATGTAGTTCAGCCATATGTTAAGCTACATCTCAGCTGGGGCCATGAGCCAAGTGATTCTTTGGTTTAGTTTTTCATTTAAAAAGATCTCTAGCCGGGCGCAGTGGCTCACAGCTGTAATCCCAGCACTTTGGGAGGCCGAAGCGGGCAGATCACCTGAGGTTGGGAGCTCGAGACCAGCCCGACCAACATGGAAAAACCCCATCTGTAATAAAAATACAAAATTAACTGGGCATGGTGGCAAGTGCCTGTAATCCCAGCTACTCGGGAGGCAGAGACAGGAGAAGTGCTTGAACCCAAGAGGCGGAGGTTTCAAGGGTGAGCCAAGATGGCATCATTGCACTCCAGCCTGGGCAAGAAGAGTGAAACTCTGTCTCCGGAAAAAGAAAAAAAAAGATTTCTAGAAAGACATGATGTATAAAAATGGTATTTTTACCTAGAAATTTGAGGTTGATTTTCAGCCTGAATAATTAATGGCCCTTTGACTTTAGGATTCTGTTTGTTTGTTTTTTTGAGATTGAGCCTCACTCTGTCACCCAGCCTGGATTGCAGTGGCACAATATCAGCTCCTTGCAACCTCCACCTCCCCGGTTCAAGCAATTCTCCTGCCTCAGCCTCCCAAGTAGCTGGATTACAGGCATGTGCTACGATACCTGGCTAATTTTTGTATTTTTATACAGATGGAGTCTCACTGTTTTGGCCAGGCTGGTCTTGAATGCCTGACCTCAAGTGATCCACCCACCTCAGCCTCCCAATGTGCTGGGATTACAGACATGAGCCACTGTGCCCCGCTGACTTAAGGATTCTTAATAAGCATGTAAATGCTTATTAAAAGCTTATTACTTTTTAATAATTTCCTTGGGATGGATGTACTGGGTATCTTTTTTGGACATACTGTTGATATGAGGTGATTTGGATACTAATTTTTTGGCAGGCTAGCTGATTTTTGTTGTTCAAAAAGTGATTTCCTAATAAAGGCAGGTTAAAATACACCTTGCCTCTCTTTTTCTGTGAATTTTTGCATTAAAGGTAGATTATCAACCCTAAAAGTTTATAATCCCACTCAACACAGCTATTCTTTATTTTTTTTAAGACTAAGGCCTTGCCCTGTTGCCCAGGTTGGAGTGCAGTGATGCAATCTTGGCTCACTGCAACCTCCAACTCCCTGGTTCAAGCGATTCTCCTGCGTTATCCTCCCGAGTAGCTGGTATTACAGTTGCACACCACTACACTTGGGTAATTTTTGTTTTTGTTTCTTTAGTAGAGACAGGGTTTCACCATGTTGGCCAGGCTGGTCTCAAACTCCCGATCTTGTGATCTGCCCACCTCGGCCTCCCAAAGTGCTGAGAGTACAGGCATGAACCACCACACCTGGCTCCACACAGCTATTCTTTTTTTTTGAGATGGAGTTTTGCTGTTGTTACCCAGGCTGGAGTGCAATGACATGATCTCGGCTCACTGCAACCTCCGCCTTCTGGGTTCAAGCAATTCTCCTGCCTCAGTCTCCCGAGTAGCTGGGACTACAGGCATGCACCACCATGCCCAGCTAATTTTTGTATTTTTAGTAGAGACGGGGTTTCACCTTGTTGACCAGGATGGTCTCGATCTCTTGACCTCGTGATCCACCCACCTTGGCCTCCCAAAGTGCTGGGATTATAGGCGTGAGCCACCGCGCCCGGCTGCACACAGCTATTTTTATATTACATATTACTTAGTAGTTATTTTGTTTATGTGTAAAGTTACGATTATGGAGTATAGGACATTTTGGATTCTGCTGTTTTTTGGTCTCTGTTTTTCTTTTGAATTATGTCTGAAAAGAGGGGCAATTTCAAAATTAAGAGAGTAACAAATCATAGCCAAAATGTCCTTTTTGAATTGTCTTTGAAAGCAAATCATTATGTTTTGTGTAAATGAATGACCCTTATAACTCTGAGAATCTTATTTTCCTTTACTTTAGAATATGTATTTTGTGTATTATATCAGGTTTTTTTTTTTTCCATCCAAGGGGCAGGAGCATATTATATCCGTTTTATTAAATTGTGGTTATATATATATATCATAAAATTTACCACTTTAGCCAGGTGCGGTGGCTCATGCCTGTAATCCAAGCACTTTGGGAGGCTGAGATGGGCGGATCACAAGGTCAGGAGATCGAGACCGTCCTGGCCAACATGGTGAAACCCCGTCTCTACTAAAAGTACAAAAAAGTTGGCTGGGTATGGTGATGCATGCCTGTAGTCCCAGCTACTCGGGAGGCTGAAGCAGGAGAATTGCTTGAACTCACGAGACAGAGATTGCAGTGAGCTGAGACTGCGCCACTGCACTACAGCCTGGTCAACAGTGTAAGATGCTGTGTCAAAAAAAAATGTACCACTTCAACAATTTTTACGTATAGTTCATTGGCATTAAGTACATTAATATTATGCAACCATCATCATCCATTTTCAGAACTTTTTTCATCTTCCCATACTGAAACTCTGTACCCATTAAATGCTAACTCTCATTCTTTTTTACCCCTAGCCCCTGACAATCACCATTCTACCTTGTCTCTGAATTTGACTCGTCTACCTACGCCGTATAATTGGAATCATACAATATTTGTTCTGGTGTGACTGACTTATTTCACTTAGTATAATGTCTTCAAGGCTCATTATGTTGTAGCATGTGTCAGAATTTTTTTCCTTTTTAAGTCTGAATAATATTCTATTGTATATACATACCACGTTTTGTTAATTCATCTGTGGACGGATACTTGGGTTGCTTCTACATTCTGGCTGTTGTCAATAAGTTACAGTGTATCAGTTTTATTTATTTATTTTTTGTTTTTTTGTTTGGTTTTTTGCTTGTAAGTGTATCAGTTTTAAAGTATATTTTTTGTTTGTTTGTTTGTTGAGATGGACTTTTGCTCTTATTGCATGGTCTGGAGTCCAGTGGCGTGATCTCGGCTCACTGAAACTCCTACCTCCCAGGTTGAAGTGATTCCCCTGCCTCAACCTCTCAAGTAGCTGGCATTACAGGCATATGCTACCACACCCAGCTAATTTTGTATTTTTAGTAGCGATGGGGTTTCTCCATGTTAGTCAGGCTGGTCTCGAATTCCTGACCTCAGGTGATTTGCCCACCTCAGCCTCCCAAAGTTCTGGGATTACAGGCTGAACCACTATGCCCAGCCTAAAGTAATTCTTAAAAGCAGTTTTGTTGTTGTTGTTTGTTTGTTTGAGATGGAGTTTCACTCTTGTTGCTCAGGCTGGAGTACAGTGGCCTGATCTCAGCTCGCTGCAACCTCAGCCTCCCAGGTTCAAGCAATTCTCCTGCCTCAGCCTCCTAAGTAAGCAAGATTACAAATATGCACCACCACACCCAGCTAATTTTGTATTTTCAGTAGAAATGGGGTTTATCCAAGTTGGTCAGGTTGATCTCGAACTCCCAACCTCAGGTGATCCTCCCGCCTTAGCCTCCCAGAGTGCTGGGATTACAGACATGAGCCACCACACCTGGCCAAAAAGCAGTTTTAAAGGTTTTTGTTTATTTTGTTGCAGTTACAGTACTTGAATATAGTTAATAAGAACTTAGAAATTTCTCAGCTACCTTCAGCTTTCAGTTTTATATATTATTTTGTATAAGACATAATAAAATCCCAGATACTCTTCTGTCATGTCTTATTTTTGGGACGTAATCATTTTATGTTATTATTATTATTATTTTTGTAGAGATGGGGGCCTCACTGTGTTGCTCAGGATGGCTTCAAACTCCTTATCTCAAGCGATCCTCACGCCTTGGCCTCCAAAGAGCTAGGATTACAGACATGAGCCATATCATTTTAAAACAATGTCTTCCTGTCTTATTTTATTGGTATAATATGAGTAAGTGTTTCTCATTTGTAGTATAAGAAATTATCACAGTTCTTCAGCAAGTAACAAAAAAATACATGATTTACTAGAGACAGTTTGGGAAATACAAGCAAGCAACCTTGACCTCGTGATAACAACTATTAACTTTTTGGTTGTAGTCTTCTATCAATTTTTTAGATGTCTGTATACATACTTATAGATATAAGATTATTCAGTATAACTTATTTAGTATATTATTAATACTTTCCTATCTCGTTGAATATTTTCTTCCACCTTTAGTTTTGTTTTGTTGTTGTTGTTGTTTTGTTGTTTTGTTTTTTTGAGACAGAATCTTGCTCTGTTGCCCAGGCTGGAGTGCAGTGGCACAATCTCGGCTCACTCCAACCTCTGCCTCCTGAGTTCAAGCGATTCTTCTGCCTCAGCCTGCCAAGTAGCTGGGACTAGAGGTACCTGCCACCATGCCTGGCTCATTTTTTTTTTTTTTGAGACAGTGTTGCTCTGTTGCCAGGCACCAGGCTAGAGTGCAGTGGCTCGATCTCGGCTCACTCCAACCTCTGTCTCCTGAGTTCAAGCAATTCTCCTGCCTCAGCCCCCCAAGTAGCTTGGACTACAGGTGCACACCACCACCCCCAGCTAATTTTTGTATTTTTAGTAGAGATGGGGTTTCACCATATTGGCCAGCCTGGTCTCAAACCCCTGACCTCAGGATCTGCTCACCTTGGCCTCCCAAAGTGCTGGGATTACAGGTGTGAGCCACCACGCCTGGCCTTCCACCTTTAGTTTTTAGCATAACTAATATCTCATATATAAGATAGTTTATTTAAATCAGTCATTGAACTTTTAGATGGCTTTAAAATTTCACTCATCTAAACAACTCTGTTAAATACATACAGGTATTTAAGGGTGTATTTTAATATTTCTCTCTATTTTTTGTCCTTACAGAAAAAAATAATAGATTTATTAATATAATAAACCTATACATTTAAATTATGAGTTTGGTCATTTGAAGTTTTAATTAATTAAGTTCATGTGTTTGTATGTATTATTTTTCTTTGAGCAGGTTGGCAACATTGTACAAGTCACCCAGCCAGAAGGAATCCACAGTACTGTTTCAAATCACAGTCAGTATTATTTGATGAGAGTGGGATTTTTATATTGGTGGGCAGTAATTATCTAAAGAGAATTTACAGCTTGCTTTTGTTAACTTCTTTAGGCAGCAAGCATATTTGAGGACAGCTTTTGATGCTTACATTGTCCCCAAAATAGTAATATACAGAATATTGTAGTCACAAATGGACTGAAATTTATTCTTAAGAACAGAGGAAATACTTATTTTCGGGTAGCATGTTCCATGCCATATGTAATGTCAGGATATTAAAAATCTTTAAAGAGAAAGTTGTTGAAGATTTCCAGAAAAGAAAAACAACTAATATTACTTATTTTGGTCTTGTAGGTATTATAGAGCTATTGTAGCCACCAAATATAGCCCACTTTAAGATGTTAATTTTTCTGTGAATTTACATCATAGAACACATATTTTTGGATAAAATATGCATATTTACCAATAATGTTGAGAACCATGTATATTTTTGGCATCTCATTTTTCTTTTTTTTTTTTTTTTTGAGATGGAGCCTCGCTGTATTTTGCCCAGGTTGGAGTGCAGTGGCGTGATTTGGCTTACTGCAAACTCTGGCCCACTGGTTCAAGCAATTCTTCTGCCTCAGCCTCCCTAGTAGCTGGGATTACAGGTGTGTGCTAACACACCTGGCTAATTTTTGTATTTTTAGTAGAGACAGGGTTTTGCCATGTTGACCAGGCTGGTCTCAAACTCCTGACCTCAAGTGATTTGCCCGACTCAGCCTCCCAAAGTGCTGGGATTACAGGCATGAGCCACTGCTCACGGCTTTATCTCATTTTTATAAGGACAAAAACAGAAATAGAGATTCTGAAACTGAATTATTGACCTGGACTTTGCACTATCCAGGTGCATTTGAAATATCCTAGTTGGAAAACTTTAGAGTATTTAGTGATGAAAATAAATCTGTAAAGTATTGAAGACTTAGGTTATTTCCTTTCAGTTCTTCTAACAAAGCCATTTTAAAGTTTGTTAGGATTGTCCTTTAGAGAACATTTTTATTTATTTATTTAATTTTATTTTTATTTTTATTTTTTTAATTGAGACGGAGTTTCGCTCTTGTTACCCAGGCTGGAGTGCAATGGCGTGATCTTGGCTCACCGCAACCTCCACCTCCTGGGTTTAGGCAATTCTCCTGCCTCAGCCTCCTGAGTCCTGGTATTACAGGCACACACCACCATGCCCAGCTAATTTTTTGTATTTTTAGTAGAGACGGGGTTTCACCATGTTGACCAGGATGGTCTCGATCTCTTGACCTCGTGATCCACCCGCCTCGGCCTCCCAAAGTGCTGGGATTACAAGCGTGAGCCACTGCGCCCAGCTGAGAACATTTTTATAATAAATGTTATTTCTGTGTGTGTGTGTATGCATGCATATAAATAAGTATATGTAAAATATTCTCATATAGCCCAGGCTTAGACAAATAACCATGAGGTTTATCCTCTTCATTCACAGTGGGTGATAAATTTCTATCTCAAGAAGTAAGTAGCTTTCTTTTCTTTTCTTTTTTTGAGACAAATTGTCACTCTGTCACCCAGGCTAGAGTGCAGTGGCATGATCTTGGCTCACTGCAACCTCTGCCTCCCAAGTTCAAGCAATTCTCCTATCTCAGCCTCCCGAGTAGCTGGGACTACAGGCATGCGCCAACATGCCCGCTAATTTTTGTATTTTTAGTAGAGATGGGGTTTCACCATGTTGGCTAGGGTGGTCTCAAACTCCTGACCTCATCATCTGCCTGCCTCAGCCTCCCAAAGTTCTGGAGCTACAGGTGTGAGCCACCACACCTGGCCCTAGAACAAAGTAGCTTTCTTACCAATTACTTAAAAATATTTTGAAGATAGGTCTTTTTTGAAGATGTTCTTAAAGCATATTTTTATATTTATATTTTTTATCTTGCAGCCTCAGGGATTTAGAGATACTGTTATTACTTCTGCATGTTCATTGCAGACAGAAGATTCCTTGAATACCCGGAAACGGTCACGAGATGCAGAGGAAGAATTTTAATCCAGAAGCAAATCTCCAAGTATATAAATTTACTGATGTTGTGAAATCAATGTGTACAAGTAGACTTGTTACTGTAAGATGTAAATAAACTATGGCATGAATGAATCCAGATTATATGAAGTGAATGGGAAAAATACCTAAAGAATATGATTTTCTGAAAGTTTTTGTAAAGCAGTATTCTGCAGTTATATTTTACCCTGTTTCCATTTTCAGTAACATTCAATAGAGATGATTATATTTCACAAATGTGGAAAGCTGATCTCATGTGGCCACTCTGAATTTACCATTTAAACTGTTTTTACCCCTTTCTTTGCCAGTTCCTTAGAAAATCTTAGGAAGAAAAGATTTTTTCATATTCTTAGTGTGTGGTGTGTGTGTGTGTGTGTTTTTGAGAGATGGAGCCTTGCTGTGTTGCCCAGGCTGGAACGCAATGGCGAGATATCAATTCACTGCAACGTCCACCTCCCAGGTTCAAGCAATTCTCCCGCCTTTACCTCCTGAGTTGCTGGGATTACAGACACCTGCCATCGTGGCTGGCTACTTTTGTATTTGTGTAGATACAGGGTTTCACCATGTTGGCCAGGCTGGTCTTGAACTCCTGACCTCAGGTGATCTGCCCACCTCAGCCTCCCAAAGTGTTGGGATTACAGGTGTGAGCCACCGTGACCAACTGTTCTTTCTAAATGTAAGTTTGATAATTCCTTAAAATGATCTGCTTTTATTTATTATTATTATTATTATTCTTTTTTGAGACAGAGTTTTGCTCTTGTTACCCATGCTGAAGTGTAATGGCGAGATCTCGGCTCACCGCAACCTCTGCCTCCTGGGTTCAGGCAACTCTCCTGCCTCGGCCTCCTGAGTAGCTGGGATTACAGGCACGTGCCACCATGCCCAGCTAATTTTTTTGTAATTTTAGTAGAGATGGGTTTCACCATGTTGACCAGGATGGTCTCGATCTCTTGACCTCGTGATCCACCCAACTCGGCCTCCCAAAGTGCTGGGATTACAGGCGTGAGCCACCATGCCCCGCCTGATCTGCTTTTATGATTATAAAAGAGAAGCCTGCACCATGAGTCAGCATATTATTCTTTTCAGTTTTATGGGTAAGATACAAATTTTAGAGTGTCCAAACTGATTTTAGTGACCTCAATCCTAAAATCTAAGCCATTTGTTTAGCTTTTTATGACATTATATGATATTAAAGGGAGGACTTTGGAGCTGTTATCTCATCTAGAGATTGTTTGGAACATGTATCTTCCAGAATAATCAGGTTAATAGGCTCACAATCATTTATTTCTACATTTTTGTTTTTTTTTTTTTGAGACAAGGTCTCACTCTGTCACCCAGGCTGGAGTGTGGTGGCATGATCACAGCAGATCACTGCAGCCTTGACCTTCTGGGCTCAAGCAGTCCTCCCATTTCAGCCTCCGGAGTAGCTGGGACTACAGGTAGGCACCACCATGCCCAGCTAATTTTTTAATTTTTTTTGTAGAGACAAGGTCTCATGAGCTATGTTGCCCAGGCTGGTCTCAACCTCTTGGGCTTAAGCAATTCTCTTGCCTTGACCTCCCAAAGTGCTGGGGTTATAGATATAAGCCCCACACTTGGCCTTACTTCTATATTTTGAAACATGGTATGATCCAATCTAGAATTATAGTTGTTATATTGACATTTTTCTTTGAATAATCTTAAATAAATTAATGATTTCGATTTGCGATGGTTTCAAAATCACCTAAAAATATTTTGGCACCCCCTCCTGGCTAACATGGTGAAACCCTGTCTCTACTAAAAATATAAAAACTTAGGCCGAGCCTGGTGGCATGTATCTGTAGTCCCAGCTACTCCCAGAGGCTGAGTCAAGAGAATCGCTTGAACCTGGGAGGTGGAGGTTGCAGTGAGCTGAGATCGTGCCACTGCACATCAGCCTGGGCAACAGAGTAAGACTCCCCCCCAAAAAAAAAACAACTATATATATAGTTTTTGGCACCTGGCTCTTAGTACTTTTTAACTCACAAAATTTACTTTGCTTCCCTGTAGGGGAAAAAATTTATTTATTTTTTCTTTTGAGACAGTCTTGCTCTGTCACCCAGGGTGCAGTGGTGCAGTCACGGCTCACCACAATCTCTACCTCCAGGGTTCAAGCGATTCTTGTGCCTCAACCTCTTGAGTAGCTGAGATTACAGGTATGCACCACCATTCCCAGCTAATATTTTGTATCTTTAGTAGAGAGAGGTTTCTCTATGTTGGCTAGGGTGGTCTCAAACTCCTGGGGCTCAAGAAACCCACCCACCTCAGCCTCCCAAAGTGCTGGGATTACAGGTGTGAACCTGCACACCCAGCCATATTTATATATTTATTTTTAAACTTTTGGGTTCAGAGGTACATGTGAAGGTTTGTTATATAGATAAACTCATGTTACAGGGGTTTGTTATACAGACTGTTTCATCGCCCAGGAATTAAACTCAGTACCCAATAGTTACCTTTTCTGCTTCTCTCCTTCCTCCCACCTTACACCCTCAAGTAGACCTAGTGTGTGTCTGTTGGTTCCTTTTTTTTTTTTTTTTTTTTTTAATGGAGCCTTGCTCTGTTGCCCAGGTTGGAGTACAATGGCAGGATCTTGGCTCACTGCAACCTCTGCTTCCCGTGTTCAAGTGATTCTCTTGCCTCAGCCTCCCGAGTAGCTGGGCTTACAGGTATTCGCCATCATGCCCAGGTAATTTTTTCTATTTTTAGTAGAGGGGTTTTACCATATTGGCCAGGCTGGTCTCTAACTCCTGACATTGTGATCTGCCTGCCTCGGCCTCCCAAAGTGCTGGGATTACAGGTATGATTCACCATGCCTGGCCTGTTTTTTAATTTGTGTTTATAAATTCTCATCATTTAGCTACCACTTATGAGTGAGAACATGCAGTATTTGGTTTTCTGTTCTTGCGTTAGTTTGCTAAGAATAATAGCCTCTAGCGCCATCCATATTCCCGCAAAATACATGATCTCGTTCTTTTTTGTGGTTGCAAAATTATTTAAATAATTGAATATTAAATACTGTGAGGCCGGGTGCGGTGGCTCCAGCCTGTAATCCCAGCACTTTGGGAGGCCGAGGTGGGAGGATCACAAGGTCAAGAGATCGAGACTATCCTAGTCAACATGGTGAAACCCCATCTCTACTAAAAACACAAAAATTAGCTGGGCATGGTGGTACACGCCTGTAGTCCCAGCTACTCAGGAGGCTGAGGCAGGAGAATTGCCTGAACCCAGGAAGCGGAGGTTGCGGTGAGCCAAGATCGCGCCATTGCACTCCAACCTGGGTAACAAGAGCTAAACTTCGTCTCATAAATAAATACTGCCACACCTGTATTTTCCAAGTGTTAGTGATAGTTGATATTTTCTATCACAGACTAAACAGTAAATTTATAAAATTACTTCAGTGTAATTATTCTTTTCTGAAATGGATTATATAGAATAGCCATCATTTACCAGGACTTGGGAGTGAAAACAGGCACTGCTAACAATTATGCCAGTACAGAAGATATGAACCGAGACTAACTTCAAATTACTTCTCTAACATAGAATGACTGGTTGTGACTATCTTTTATGGGCCTCAAAGCATATAATTTTATTATAATTGATGCCATCATTTTAACAAATGCCCATTATTTTATATTCTGCCTGCTCAAATCATAAAATCAAGAGTATGAAGCATTAAGTGATAAATATCAGTGTTACCAAGTATCAGATAAGATAGGTAAGATAAGGTAGGATCTCTCTTTTTTTTTTTTTGAGACAGGGTCTTACTCTGTTACCCAGACTGCAGTACAGTGGAACAATCACTGCTCACTACAGCCTTGACCTCCCAGGCTCAAGTGATGATCTTTCCACTTCAGCCTCCTTCGTAGCTGGAAGTACAGGCATGCACACCATGCCTAGCTAATTTATTTTTATTTTGTAGAGACAGGATCTCACTATATTGTCTGGACTGCTCCCAAACTCTTGGGCTCAAGTGATACTCCTGCCTCAACCTCCCAGAGTGCTGAACCATTGTGCCTGGCCTAGAATCTCTTTTTATAAAGTATCATAACACTGTACTTTATTTATTTATTTCAAGACAGAGTCTTGCTGTCTTGCCCAGCTGGAGTGCTGTGGTGCAGCCTCAGCTCACTGTAACCTCTGCCTCTCAGGTTCATGCAATTCTCATCCCACAGGCTCCTGTGTAGCTGGGACTGCAGCCATGCATGACCATGCCCAGCTAATTTTTTTTTTAGATAGAGTCTCGCCCTTTTTGCCCAGGCTGGAGGGCAGTGGCACAATCTCGGCTCACTGTAATTTCTGCCTCCCAGATTCAAGTGATTCTTCTGCCTCAGCCTCCCAAGTAGCTGGGATTACAGGTGCCCACCACCACACCCAGCTAATTTTGTATTTTTAGTAGAGATGGGGTTTCACCATGTTGGCCAGGCTGATCTCAAATCCTGACCTCAAGTGACCCACCCCCCACTTGACCTCCAGGATTACAGGCGTGAGCCACCATGCCCAGCTCTATGACAACTTTGAATAGTTGTGTATAATTTTAAAATTTCTTTTTGGAGTTTCAGTTGTTACTTGACTTTTAGTGTTAAAAACAATGCTTTAAATAAACATGTAAGTTCCTTTCTTTCTGGTGCCCCTTGGATTCAGCATAAATTACATTTTAAAGAAATCAAAAATTTTTTTGTTTTTTGCTTTTTATTCTTAGGAAGACCTCACCTGAAAAAAAATTGTTTTTTATTAATTTTTAATTGCTGCTATAATAAATTTCCACATATTTAATAGCTGAAAAGAACACAAATTGATTATCTTACAGTTCTGGAGTCTGAAATCAGTTTCTGTGGTCTGAAATCAACTTGTCAGCAGGCCTGCATTTTTTCTAGAGGATGTAAGGGAAAATTTGACTCCTTGCCTTTCTAGCTTCTAGAAACTGCCTGCATTCCTTGGCTCATAGACCCATCTTCAGACTCAGAAGTATAGACTCTTCCAATCCCTCTCTGCTTTGATTGTCACTTTGCCTTTTTCTCACCATTACTCCTCCTGTCTCACTCTTACAAGGACACTTATGATTACATTTAGAGCCCACC